GGGGGGGGGAGGGGTTGACTGATTAAAATTAGCTTGTCAGCATGTGACTATTGGGTGAGGTAAACTTTATTGTTATTGTGTCTACACTGCTATTAACGGTGCCGTTTTGCCTCGTTTTACCTAAATTGAGGTTAAAATTTTCATATCTGTTCCCTCCATTTAGATCAAATGATTCAATACTGCCTTCGGGAACGCACATCCCGTTTCCTTGAACAAACTGCCGTGCTTGGTTGTCCAAATCGTCTACATGCCTACCTCGCCTTCATCTCTACCACTTGTCGTTTTCTGGCTGATCTTGCCACTCAGAACCCTCAAGCACTCTCCTACCTCCCTGAATTTATTGTTGACAATATTGTTGAAATCGTTGGCTACCTCCGTCGAATGAATGACGATTTTCTTGAGGTAAGAGCACAATTTCAGATATGAATAACCTCTTCTTCTAGTCACACGAAGCTGCCGATATAGCATTGGAGTCACTGTTGGAGTTCTCGATTATATTTATGCACCATCCCTTCGCACTGGCTAATCCTCACTTGAGAGCTAGGCTGGCAGAAATTCTAGAAGCTCTTATTCCCTTCCGAGATGATGAGGAATGGAATAGCCAACCCGGTGGTTCAAATTTCTCCTCTGTATCTAGTTTAAGATTGTAAGTGTTCGATTTTTTCTTACCTTTTTCTAGTGTTCGTCGTGAACAACTCATGCTAATTACGAGTACAGCCTGTTTGAAAGAAGCTATCGCATCGCTTATCACTGCTTTCGTTGCCATTGAGCTTAATCCAGGATCCGAGGCCGCTTCCGTGACCTTGGGCTCAAATGCTCCGGCAACGGCACAACAGGAAGCTGTGCAAACAGCCACAGTCAGTTTTGAAGAGAAGTTTCACTATCGAAGACCCATGTATGCATGTTTGCGATTCTGGTACGGAAAGCCGGAGTATGATAATCAGTTCAGGCAGTTGGAAGTTTCCGCTATTGAACATATAGACGATCCTAGACCACCGCTTCTCCTTCAATTTCTTTCTCTCCTTATCAATGATTCTACTTTCCTACTTGATGAAGCAATCAGTTTTCTGGCTCAGTTGAAGGTCAAGGAACGAGCCAGGGAGTCACAGGGTGGGAGATATACTAGTAGGGACGAAGAATCAATGTTCCAGCACATGAGTCGATTGGCTAGGTACCACATCTCTCTCGGTTTGGACAATTTATCCGCTCTCAGACGTGTCGTTTCACTGTGTCCACGGCTGGTTACTCATCAGATTCTTGTTGATCGAATCACCTGTATGTTGAACTACTTCCTAGCCCATTTAGTTGGCCCGAAATCGCGAGAGCTGACAGTGAGAGATAAATCGACTTATGGTTTCAAACCGGAGTTGTTTGTTGAGGAGATTTGCCGAGTGTATGTGAGCCTGGGACTGGATAATTCGGAATCGGCGCAAGGTAAAGGCTCGACAGTTTCCGCGTTCTTGAGAGCCGTGGTTAGTGATGGCAGATCCTACTCGTCAGAATTGCTAGATCAAGCTCTTGGGGTCCTGAGACGTGTTTCTGTGGACCCGAACTTGGTGGAACTTTTCAGTAAAGTTGCTGAGGCTTTGAAGGTGTGTTGGAAACCTTTTTTCTCTAATTTATATACGTTTTTTATGAGAAGATACATAGGCTCATTAGATGCAGGTCTTGTTGGGTAATGGCGTTGGGAGATGAGTACAATCCATACCCTCTCCCCCCTCCCCCCCCCCCCCCCCCCACTTCTTTCGAAAATTTAAAACAACGTTTCTTCGCTTGGTTCATGAGTTTGGTAAAAGAAGATTGTAAATCAAACTATTTTTTTCACACATATTGGTTGGGTTTGTAGTAACCACTGCCCCAATGCCTTGTTTTCTCGTTCATTAAAACACATTCGAACTCGGCAATTCCTAATTGGGTTGCTTAACTTTGATTACTATCGCCTAGTTCGCTTGTCAACATCCAGTTAACGGAATGACCATCAGTTCTTGGTTGCATTCACACTTTGCTGTCTCACAATGTTTAGTTCGCCGGTTTGTTGCCTCAACTCCCAAATATTTATACACTTATAGCGAATGGCAGGCTTTGTGATAGTTATCATTAGCCCATTAGTTGACTTCAGGCTTCACTGAGTGGAAGCAACATCAAAGTGAGAAAAACGTCGAGAGGGGAGTGGGGAACAGAAGAGTGTTTCTCCCATGTAAAAGAGACAGATAGACACAAAGGCAAGGTGAGTACTGTGGTAGTGGTGGAATATGACATACAGTGGGGTGATGGTAGTTTGAAGTGAGAAGTCAACTGCCGGCTTATAGACTGTTTCGCCGTATGAGTATACGTTGCCCATGGTGCACATCCACTCCTAAATATAGCTACCTGTTTTTTTCATTTTTATAAGATTCGATGACTTCGGCTTTTGCTAATCCCCACACAACCGGCACTTACCCAAATTTGGCCTAGATCATAGAGAAACGGTAATGGCGTCACTGCAAATGGGATTTTAATCTTTTCTCTCATTTAGGCTGAGCAAGTGTCAGTGACTGAAGATGCAATGGGCTTCGAAGATGCTCCAGAGGAGTTCTGTGATCCAATTATGGGAGAAATTATGGAAGATCCTGTTCGTTTACCCACTTCCAATAATATCCTCGATCGAAAGACCATCTACCGACATCTACTTAGGTAAGAACCTCAGAATACTTGTCAAGTTCGGTTACGTCTGAAGTGTATGTAGTCATTAGTGATTACAAAATACAGCATGAACTAGTGGTTGAAAGCTGAAAGTAATCCGTGGAGTGAAATTGTGTATTGTTTGATCTATTGGGCGTGAGGCATCTATTGGATAATTAAGGTTTCCTAAACTTTGGTTGGTACATTTCCACTGTGACCTGAATTTTCTTATCCAATTTTTAATTGCCAAAATAAGTAACTTGATTCTTTTCTCTTATCACAGTGATCCCAAGGATCCATTCAACAGGCAGCCCTTGGAAATGTCCATGGTAATTGCAGAGACGGAACTGAAGGAGAGGATTCAAGCCTGGATGGCAGCGAAACGAGCGGAACGAAGCCAGGGAGGTGGACCTCCGACATCTTAATTGAAATGGAAAGCTTACTTCTTCGTGGGGCTTTTTCTCACGTCTTATTACAAAAAATGACTTTATGTTTGTTAAATTGTGATATATAGCCAACTGCGGTTGTATTGTGCGGAATTTTCGAATTTTCTATTCCAACCTGCCTGGCATTGAGTGTTCATTAGTATTAATTCTTGTGCAACGTTTTCATATGTTTTGGGACCAAATTGCTTTTGCGTAGACTAAATTTTCTACTTATCTAAATTTAAGTAGATAAGGAAAGTAGACATTTGTGATACATGACAACCGATAAAATTTGCCAACGTACCCCGATGACTTAGCGCGAATAGCAGAGATCGTGTATCGTGAGCTTCTAACCCGATTATCTTTAATGGAATTCACAATTGCTCCAATCGAATGTTCGTTTAAAGACACTCTAGCATAGCTTTTCCTCAACAATTATTGACTATACTGTTCATTCTGTTCAATTAGAGAATTGAAAAAGCCTTCTACGAAATATCGAAATTAGATCAGAAATGTGTTACAATGGTCCTTTCTCAACCAAATGATAACAGAGTAACACAGTATGCCTCACGGCTTGTAGGCACGAGTGACTATCGAATTTGGAGTGTAAATGGCACGTAACGCAGCGAATCAAACTTCACTCAAGCATTTAAGGGATAAACTTGGTGGCTTTTTAAACTAGACCTGACTATTTAGCCTTAGTTGGAAAGTAGTAACAGGTTTAAAAATTGGAAACACATTAGTCAGTCGAATAGAATCCAGAAATCTGACGAGTAGAAATGAAATCTTACGCAGCAAATTCCGATTTGGTTATTAAAAGAAAAAAACAACACGAATAGAAAAAATGACACGTAGGCAAAAAACAAATATTTATATCTGACAAAAAGGCTACAAGCATTTACCAAGTATAAAAAGATATATTGTTATAGCACAGGGGGAAATTACACAAATTAAAGTTAATTTTTTGAAACAGACGAAGCTAGTGTGAGCTTCCGCTTATAACTTGGTGATGAACCTTCGTTATCCATTGAGATGTAATGGTATAAAACCACCAAGCAAAATAGGAAGAGACCAGAGAGATTTACAAATACCGTCAGCTGTACGTCGGTAATCATTACTAGAGATTCGTAGATTGCGCTAAAGTGACGTGCATACCTTAATTTATTTAAATGAATTACGAATACATATTAAAATTCAAAGTTAAACTAAATTAATTATAATAAATATATTTAATTGATAAATTTACAGACATCATAAAATGGAAAACAATTTCAACTTTCAAATTCTCTGATACATAAATTAAAAAGGTACTTTTCATATTTATGTTGATCTAAATTCAAATAATTTTTGAATTTCCATATTACATGTGAGTGGAAAAAACCGATGGGTTGAGGGAACCATAAATATCTTTTACTTTGTCTATTGAAACATAGCAACATGCCTTTTGTATCACTATGTGATTAATCTGCCATTGGCGAAAGTAAATATTCAACTTCGAATCCACTGAATAACTCCGATTGAAAATGTTTCCACTCGTTCATCTCCTCCACATATTCAATATATATTCACAAAATCCAAAACAGTGAAAATAAATTCAACTTGTAGATTTTATCGTATTAAGAATTATTTGTATGTCTCTATTTAATATACTTATTAGAAAGAAAAGTGTCTGGTCGGACAAAGTGAATAAGATTCGACCTAATATATTTTTAAAACTCTCAAAGCATAATCTTTTAAAAGCTAACATTTGAACTGTTATCGACAATTCATTAAAAATAAACTCTCAGAATTTGCGGGAATCACTGTTGTCTTGGTATTTCACACATATTTAGCCGAAGGCTCAGTTCCTCAAACATCTCATTGCTTGGTATGTGCGTTGAAATAATGCAAAAAAAGTTGGCCTAATGATTTTGGTTATTGAAAAGCTATACATTAACCTTTTCGTGATAGTAGAAGCACTTCTTTCATTCTCACTTTTTCTATCTCTGATAATCAAATCCTACGTTTAAGCTTAAACTTCTTCACGATTACTTCAAACCATTCCGGCGAATCCTTTGTTAACAGCTTCATTAGCCTATCTTCGAAATAAACATTTAATCGTCTTTACGTTTTAGCGAAGAAAAAGCGTAGCCTGAATTTCCTATGATTATAAACGTAGCAATGTTAATTTTATTTTTACGTGATTTCCCACAATGACTTCATATGATTCAAGTATTTTTACATCCACTAAGATAAAAAATAAAAAGTGTTTGAGACATGTTAACTAATTATATTTTTTACCTCAATGAAATCAAAATTAACCGAAATTTTAGCTAAAAATGATCTTTGTTAAAGAAGTTTCTATATTACGTAGTCACTATTACACATTGTGGTTTAGCTTTATTAACTGCATTAATATTTTGACCTAACCCAATCAAGCGCGCGAAGCTTCATATTGTATTCATTTATAAGGTGAATAAAATGGGATACGAGGTTCCATTAACTGTGGTTACCATATTTTGGGCACTAATCGGTTGTGGTGTCCCTTTGGTTATTCCAAAAGGTCCTAACAGAAGGTAAAATTTCATATTACTCTTCTATTTTTAGTATTATCCAAGTGTTCATCGTGATGACGTCTGTTTGCTGCTATTTATTGTAAATGAAATTGCTATTCATCTTGACTTTTTAGCTGGCTTATGGCTTTTCTTGGCCAACTGAATCCTCTATACGGACCCCAGTTGAGGAACTCTACAATTCGAATCGTACGCAAAGAATGGCCGGTAGATTTTTTCCCATTTATTTACCCTTGTTTAGCCTGTGGCATAAAGTCGAAAGCGGATTGCTAAACTTCTGTATGCGAAGCATAAACTCCGATACCTCCAATCTTAATCGTTATTTTGCCGTTGTACTTACTAAATTTCAAATCTTCTACCCATTCCAATGCATAAATTTGTACTCTTTAGCTGTACATTATTCTATTCTATTCAGACATTCAATGATTTTCTTGATTGGTTCCATTCAGTATTAATTTTAATACAAAATATTATCGCTTTCTTGACCCGACAAGTGACGCTGTGACGGACAGATAAGAGATTATTTATTTGCGGTCCCATGTGACCTTTTTTGAGTAGCTATACTTGTAACCCACACCCCTTATGTTAACTGATATCCTGCAGTTCTGCTTGATTTGTTCCATTTCTCTATCGCTTTCTTAACATCATCTATACTAGAACCACTTTTGTAGTAATATTACCATTATTTTCTTGGGCTTCTACTAATTAAGGGAATTATCGAGCTCCACAGAATAGACAATAACGAGGCACAAGCGCTCAAATATCTCTCGAAAATTTCGCGATTCGACAAGTGATTATGGGCGTCGCCACAAATAACTGCACTATTCAAGACCGACATAAGGCTTATATCGTTTTTTCTAACAGTTAGATTGCATTGTTTTAGCAGATTTCTTAAAAGTTCTTTTACCTACTAATGCAAAAGAAGCTTTAGGGAGTAGAAAAATGCATTATTGCAGTAATACCGTGGAATCTCGAGATCACATTAGCATTCTAACTGAGTTTATGGAGCTTCTAGTCGGTTAAGTGGTCGTGTTAAGTACATTCCAGATTATTCTCAGGTGCTTATAAGCCCGACAGTTTTAAATAAAACAAGGTTTGTTTTTCATTTAGTTATACCCTAGCTCTATATTCACAAATTTCCAATTAAGAATATCTCATAATCAAAGTAAAATAACTAGGTTAGCAATCTTAAAGCAGGTTTACGTGCTCGAATACACTGAACTCCTCGTGGAGCTCTAGGGTCATTCTTGATCCACTCCACACTTTCAAACCCAAGCTCTTCTAGAGCGATTACATAGGCAAGCTGGTCGGGTCTGCCGAGCCGCATCCAACCCCATCGAACATAACGATCTATTAGGCGGGGATTGAATGTGGTTACCACTACGCCACCAGGTTTGAGGACTCGAAAAATTTCATTTAGACCATCTGGAAGGGAAGGCCAGAAGTAGACGGATTCAACGTGAAATGCAGCGTCTACACTGGAATTTCGAAGTGGAATGTGGGCGATACTTGCATGAACAACTTCTGCTCGATCTGCTTTGATAAAAGGCCGCAACAATCTGAAAGGAAGAAAGTTTTACTTAATCGAATTTAAGTAGCACGCAATGTTAGAGTTATGACATATTGGCCCATTTGGAAAGCATATGAGGGGGGACACTGAGGTAACTTGTCAAAGAAGAGCTTATAAGGCAATAATTAAGACAAAGTAAGCAAGACATCAAAGAAATCTGCCCTGGCAGAATAATTCAATGAACAGGACTAAAAATAACTGGACTCACCGAAATTTCACCTTAGTAAATATTTATTTATATCAAATGGCAGGCGTTTTGATAGTTATCATTAGCCCTGGAGCTGACTTCGGGGCTTCATAAAGAGGAGAAAGGACATCAAAGTGACAAAAGGTCGAGATGGGAGACAGAATAATGATTCACCGAGGTAAAAGAGACAGACAGACACAAAGGCATAAAAAAGGTAAGATGAGTACTGTGAAGGGTTCGAATATGAAAAATAGTCGGGCCATAGAAATTTGAAGTCAGAAGTCAACTGCCGATCAATAGACTTTTTTGCCGTATACGTTGCCCAGGGTGCACCACGTGGAGGTAAGTCTATTGTGCACCCCCCTTACTAAATATGTTATTACTTAATTTATTTAGGTTTGATCAACATTATGCAATCTAGCTTTATGAACTAATCTACAACTATCAATGTGGAATAGAATGAACAGAAAATCGTAAACATTAAAATTGGCAATAAGGTGAATGCTAGAGGAGTGAATTTTTGTCAAGGTCACAAAGACAGCCTTCAGACATCCAATCACACGTCTGCAGACCTAGTTTTCCGACATAGGCAAAAAACAAACGTGCATAGAGCAAAGGAGGCAGAATATCAGTGTATTTACAGCATAAAATGACAAAATATTAGTCAATGGATAGATTATCATCATGACATATTGAAAGTTCAAAGTTCTGGCAGTAAGATTAAGATCAAGATATAAAATGTGTAAAAACGAAATGCAAAGCCTAACTGGAGAATCCAAGGTGGAATTGGGCGTGAAATGGATAACGGAACGTGAATTTGGCCAAAAGAGAGGCTCCAGACAGGCTCCATATACCAGTGAGAAGGNGAGGGAAAATGGAATTAGACTTAAATCGGATCTTAGAGCTTTGGAATTATGTTGAATACTTCATTGGGAAAAAAACTTTGGAAATACCTTCAAAATGAAACTACTCATGATGCAGCATCGCTGGAAGGTCAAGTTCCCCTGTTGGAATGTATCCCACACCCAGATATAGCTGGGAATCAGAGCTAATTCAAGACATTCGTCAATTAGACAAAGGCATTGAATGTTGCGAGATCAAAACACCGATGGAGTGGCAACACGGTTCTAGACATATGTGTAAGCGTTAAATTATCGGGAGAGATGCTTACTCTCACCACCTTGATGAGGACAACTTGCGTACATTGCTTTTATCCCGAGGCAAAACAGATACAGCAGATATGAGTTTTGCCTAGTCGGACTGCGATTCACTCGAACTGCATGCATGCTGCATTTCAGCAAAAAACTACTCCGACTTGACATGAAAAAAAAAAGATTGCTATGTCGAGAATAGGTGCATTCCTTCATCCAAACAGGGACACATTAGCTTGCAGACAGGGAAATGAAGAATCACCTCACACTGGAGAGAAACTCAATCTACACCGATCAGGGGGTGTACGATAGACTTAAATCCACGTGGTGCACCCTGGACAACGTATACTCATACGACAAAAAAGTCTACTAATCGGCAGTTGACTTCTCACTTCAACCTACCATCACCCCACTGCCTGCCATTCGATATCATAACACCTATCATTGTGCACTTGTTATCGATTTCATTGAATATATGAATATATACGACCGCATGACCGAGAAAGCTTAAAGAGCAAAAAGAGAAACGAATAGACAGCGGTGTGATTTTCAAAAAAGACGATTCGACCACAATCCATTTGCTATTCCAGGGGAATAAGACTTAGAGAAGAGGTAACACGTTGAACACTTTCCATAATGTCTCACGATGAGCTCAGAATCGAATTTTTTAAATTTCAATCCCTTCACCCTACTCTATAAATGTAATAGTGAGAGCTACACATCTCCATTCTCAACGCATAGTTTTCAACCAATCAAAATGATTCCAGTGAGAGATTTAAGAAGCAATTACCATAGCTATTTATGGGAGTGATTTACGAGAAATACACATAATGGAAATGAGTTTGAATAGATTGCTAGGGAAATAAACTGTAGTCAAACACATTAGATTCATTTATGATCTAAAATTTCACTGGACTCTAGAACAGAAGCAAATAGAATATATTTGCTTGACATAATTCATTAAAGCGATCGCCAATAATTTCGCCCAAGTTGGGGGGGGGTTGCTTTTCATTCACGCAATAAAGTGACGTGGATGGTCAACCCTACTGGTTGGCTGTATTTGGCCAAAAAAATTACTGAAAGCAGGCTTCTCGTAATCGTGAGAACAGGTTTGGGAAACCATTGCACAATTGAATGCATTCGAGGCGACTGAATTCAACAAACTGCGAATCGCAGGCCAAACTATCCAACCGTATGGTAGTGATGAGGAAGAGATGCGGAATATTGAAGACATATCCAACAAAAGAGTCGGAGAGGAATTGTAAAAAAAATAGCGCAAGAAGAAATGTCAATCTCAAGGAAGAACTAAAAAGATACATAACATCTTAGTGTGCATTATAAAATCACTCATTTTTTTTCTACTTTCAATTAATGTGGCAATCCGACTTCTGCAAGTTCGTTTTTGATGTAGGTCTTGGATATTGATCCAGAATTTAATTTGATGCGATTGGCTTAAAGTAAACAAGGATTAGAACTAACTCAACCTGGGATTCCAGGTGAAAAAAAGAGGAACCAAGACGAGAGCCAAATTTAAAAATAACTACAATAAAATCTACCATAGAAACTGGAGCCTATATTTGAAAGATAGGCCGATGTGAAACACGTATAATCGATTGACAATCCGAGTTCAAGAGAATCAAATTCAAAATAAAGTCGTATTTTGTTCTTAAATGACATTTCCTGATAAGGGGGGAAGGTGAAGTGAAGAAAATAAATTTAGAGTTCTGTTAGTGGACTCGAGAGAGTGATAAAGGCAGCCTGTAGGAGTTATTTGAGCAAGGACGCACTTAAGGGTAATAGTGCAGACGTACTTTTAAATGAAACGGGCCATTTAAGAAAAACTAACTAGAAATTATGAACTCATCCAAATTCAACAGACAGAAAAAGCTAATGTACTTTTCATAAGGAAAAGGAGTCATTTTTAAAAATCAATTGTCACAGCATCTAATTAGTTCCATTTAAAGTAAATAACCGCTTATAGCTGACAGATGCTGGGCAATCACAAAGTCAACCTGTTGGCTTTAACTACTCGTAGCCATTTTGGCAACAAACAAATGGACCGACATAATAAAAGAACCATTAGCAATAATGGGAGGGGGGCAAATATAATTGCTTACTTTAAATCACACATCTCCACAGCATACCGATTCATTGGACGATTGACGAATTTGAAGACAAGAGCTTTTACAAGAGTCGAAACGATGCTCAAGTCCGGTTCCCTGAGGCTCTTTGCAAATTTATAATGCAGTGACGAAAGCATTGTGCACTGGAAACAGGAGAATAAGTGAAATTAAATTAGCAAGCTTTACGAAGGTATTAGCTAGCCTTCCATGGAAGCAAGGCACAAACTAATAAGATGAAGTTATGGTAAATAACCCCTAGGAAGCCAATAACTAATTAATTAGTCTATTTAGGAGGACGAAGGTGGCATAACAGCGTGCATGCCTCTTATTACATCTATCTCCTGCTTGTAATCTGTAACTGCACAACCACCAAATGGAATTATTGTCAGCCAGCTTGTCAAATTCAACCAGAGCAGAATACTCCATTTAAGGTAAATAAGAATCGGCATGAATATGGAAAAATGAAAGAAAAGAGTTTGTTATTATGGAAAAAAATGTCTATGAAAAAATAATAACCACTAACCCAATCCTGACCACCTCCAACCATTATGACAGGTCATAAAGGTTTCAGGATACACACAGAGAAAATAAAATCAATTTCGATAAAACTGCAGTTTGACAACAAATAAAACTCTCTAATATAAACACTAAATTTAAAACTAAAACTATGTACTTTAACAGACGAACAAAAAGAATGCAAGTTAGAAATTCAACAAACGTTATTTATTTTTTGCAAAGCTTTGCCACAAGAAGGAAACGGTAATTTCCAACAACAAGTTTCATTGAAGCGCGGGAAGAGAAAGAAACACAGTCCAAGTAAAAAAGAAGTGGTAGTGGGGAATTTTAGTTTGTGTGGCTTCGAAGTTGGCATGAAAATATGCCCAAACGAAGAATTGTCTACGCAAGCTCAACACAGGGCGTCTTAGAAAATTCGGGCTTCACCTTAGTAGAAAAAATGGCAATTAGCAATTAAGATTCAAAGCCGATGTGTAAATAAGATTACGCGGAGAAACGAACTTTAAAAGCGCCACCAAAAGCAGGGAAAATCCAATCTGATTTAGCGAGCAGACGATCACGACTTCGTCTCCAAACTGTGAGCGATGAATTACAGTCACCAGCATAGTCAGCCGGGACAAAATTTCCGTGGAAAACGCCAGTTCTAGTGGCATCGTCAGCATCATTAAAAATTGAGCCTGTAATAGCTATGGAAACAGGTTGTGTTGACGTTTCATCCGAGAACGATATGTGGGGTGTAACAATACCCTTTACAATGACGGTAACTTGCTGGTCCATCAAACCAGGTGTTCCAATAACGGATAACTAAAGGTTATTAAAAAAAGCATTTAACGTACATTCTCGTCAAACTCAAATGGGACAGATCCATCCATGAAATCGTGCTGTACGAACAGATTCCCGCGTTTTTGAATATCATGTCCAACGATAATCATCTCGGCATTGCTGAATAAACTCAGACAGCCGACATGAGAAGCTCTTCCATCTGTGCATACAACATATTTGACAGCTGAAAGGTCCGGTACACTGTGCCTCTTGAGAGCTTCAATCAAATCCGGACCATCCCAAGGTGAACCAGGGTTTACAAGCATAATGCCACTAGGACCCCTGACCAAAACTGTATTACAGTGGCGTTTAATGTACCCATTTCCAGCGTCTTCTTCGAAGCCTTCGCGGATAAGTGTCACTTCATACGTGTCCAACGACATAGATACAAATAGAATATCTGAAAATTCCAAAGACCTGTTAAGACAGCGGGTTAATTTTAAACGTATTCTAGAGTATTTTAAACCAATTGAGAGAAGAATATAAATATCAACCAATGTCTCTTACCAAAAATTTGAATAAGATTAAAATATGATAATAAAACGTAATAACTTTAAATTTTTACTTAAATTAAAGAAACCAACATGAACTTTTGCTTAGTGAACTAGTTCACCAAGTGAGGGAATCACATTTTAATATGACAAAATAAGCTATTTTTAAATTTATAGCAATAATTTTATGTTTTCTCTTAATATAGAATTAGTCATTTATTGAGTAAAATATGTTTTTAATTAATCAGCGCTTTCGACAGCCTTGACAAAGGCAGCTGAACTTAAGTAGGTTCAGACTGGCGAATATTCAAATATGCTAAATATTAAGTTGTTTTACTAGCTATGCAGTCTCAATTTGGTAATACATATATTTTCATCATTGAATAGTGCTTGATAATAATTCCTCTATACCTTTAAAGGATATTACTGTCAAGTCTGTCATATATAACTTCTATGCCGATGTCGCATATAAATACACATATGAGAATGAGTCTTCAGATCTTTTGGAATCTTCATTTGTATTTCCTATCGAATATTTAGCCACCGTATACAAGTTTGAGGTTGAAGTTGGAAGCGAAAAATTCGTCGGCACCTGCAGGGAAAGGCTTGAGGTTTTGATCGTTCATTACGTATAATTATTACTTTTTAAGGCTTTATGTATTTATGAAGAGGCGAAGGAAAGCAATCGAAATGTTTTCATTTTACTTGAGGATGAGGAAATGCTTGATACATTTTCCATGAAAATTGGTAACATCCCTCCCAACGAACGCGTCGTTGTTACACTATCATGTTTTCAAAAACTTAATTCAATTTGTAATCATATCGAATCACATGGACATAGTGAAATTGTTGCTATTTTTTCAATCCCGTTTTTGCTTAACAGTCGATATGCTCCGAAAAGTCAGTAAATTTTTCTTATTAATTCGTTTAGATCATGGAAGAAGGCGGCAATTTGGTAAACCGTTTCATCCCAAATGGTCTTCCTTGGTTCCTTACACGTTTCACTTTTCGGTTGAAATATCTTCATCCTCTATTATAAAATCGATTCTCTCTCCTAACAACCAAATATCATTTGAATATTTGGATGATCGGCATCGTTCTGCCAAGGCAGTTTTATTTAGTCATTTTGACTTTACGGAGGATTTCATATTAAACATCTTGTATGAAAATGCTGAGAACTTTTTAGCAGTCGAAAGCCATTCGGCCGAGAATGGCCTCTTCTCTACTGATTGTGTGATTATAAATTTTCTTCCTCGACTGCCGTGCCTGCCTCAATCAAATGTTGAAATAGTATTTGTTATTGATCGGTCAGGTGCGTTTGTTCGATTATACGATTATTTTTTTCCTTTTTAAAACCAGGAAGTATGGATGGCGACCCTATTCAGCAAGCTAGTCAATCTCTTCTTATTCTTCTCAAATCTCTTCCTGTGGGCTGCCGATTTCAGATCGTTGGCTTTGGGTCTACTCATAACCTGCTCTTTCCTGAGTATGTATTTACTATGTAATAGAATTTAATTACCTTGTTCAAAGACCTAACTACAATACAGAGGAGAATATTAACAAGGCTCTGGAATATCAGCGTAATCTCGAAGCTGATATGGGTGGAACAGAAGTTCTGCCGGCTCTAAAAGCTATCTACTCTTCGAGTTTAATCGGATCCGCTGATCAGTGGCGAAGAGAGATCATCTTTCTTACAGATGGAGATGTCACTAATCACTCCGAGGTGAGTGTCAAATTTGGCATAACAGATATATTGTGAGTTTGTTTATTTTTACAATTTACTTTCTGTTTTTTATTGCTTCCCAGTTCAATGTGCTGATATTGGTTATTTCAGTTTAGATATCTCGAATTTGTCTTATTATGGGCACTTTTTTTTATTTGTAATGATTCTTTGGCGCCAATGCCATAGCAACTCACGTTGTTTATTCGTGAATTCAGAGGTCAGGGATTCGATATCCGTTAATGTACACTAGACATGATACACTGTCTAATCATTCGATTATAAAGAGAATAATATTACTCTTGCCAAGCATACTCCTTGGTAAATAGTCTTGACTTCTTTAATGATGTTCTCATTAGAAATGCTTTAATAGTAGAATTTCTGCATTTTTTATTTCTCTACTTTTGCGATAACTGACTTTAAGAAAACGCATTTAAAAGGGTACTTTTACCTTTCGATTCGTTCCTCAAAGAATGACTTATCTGAAATGGGATACTTAGTGTCAAGGAATCTTGTTAAGGTCAAACGTTTTAAGCGTGGACTAGGTACTGTTTTCATTAATTCGATTAATGGTATTTTGCTTGAATACCTAATAAAAAAAATAGGGATAACCTCAAAATTGCTAAAATTAAATCCAAAAATGACTATGACCAACGTGACATCTGTGTATTCACCCAAATTTCATTGGTTTTTTGTGAGAATCAATAAAACAATACATCCTTAAAAACGTACGATTTGACTACTCAATGTGGCGAACATTTCATGTTTGCACTTTGGTAGTGGCAACGGATCTAAACAATTGAACTTCTAGTCGTGTGTTCATTCGAAGTCTGGTTGGCAGGCTGGTCATTCTCCTATTGGGAGCCAGAAGGCCAGCAGTGTAGCTAAGTTTAAAAAAAGAAAGAAATTCGAGGGATACCCTTTAAGAGAGAGAGAGGGTAAAATGATCTAATGGAAGGTTCTGATCGCAGTAGTTGTGTGCGTTTTAGTCGGATATCTTCCGATTGGGTGTATTTGGCAGACGGTGGAAAATGTTGATGGTCAATTGAGAAAGGAAGAAAATGCAGTACTTACTTTCCTAGGCGAGTCCACACATATGCTTGGCTTTAAAACCCAGGTGGCTAATTGCTGTTCCAATCTTTGATTAGGGATCCAATGGATAAACTCATATACTTCTTGAAAAAGTTAATTGCCTCCAACTTGTGATTCTTCTATTTGAAAATGCTTATTATCATTTTATATAAAATTAAAAAAAAACTGAATCAAACAATACTTACACCCTATCGCTATTCTCGAACTCGCTTTCACTTATTTAGCCAACAACAAACAGTAGTTTTAATAATTGATTTTTTTGCCAGTACCATGTATCTAACTGCGCATTAAATTCTCAGATAGAAATCATTTAAACAAATGCCTGAATTTTTAACCTGAGTTTTCATCTCTTCGTATGTGGATGTTATTTGTTAATCATATATTCTATTGTCGAAACAACATTTCGTCATAAATATCCATCAGTAACATAGACAGTAAGATTATATATTTTTGTCGAAGTACGATTTAAACAAAACCATGCCATATTCACTACCTTGGAACCATTAATGTGATATTTATTCTCACCTAATAGTCATTTTTTCGGTCAAACTGTCTCGGTTGTGTTTTGGTAATTAGCTTCCCCTATAGAGGCCACTTATTACCCCTTTTGTGGAGTCTATTTCCTAAAGATTTCTTAAATAATAAATTGATCTTGTTTTGGGCACATTTTTTTACTTAGAGCGTTGTAGTTAGATCACCCTATATTTTCTATTTATTTCAAATGGCAGGCGTTTTGATAGTTATCATCATCCCTTTAGTTGACTTCAGGCTTCACAGAGGGGAAGGAACACCAAAGTGGAAAAAAGGACGAGAAGGGGTGGGAAGAAAAGAGTGTTTCAAAGATGTAAAAGAGACAGGCAGACACAAAGGTAGAAAAAGGTGAGGTGAGTACTGTGGAAATAGTCGAAAATGACATACAGTGGGGTCATGGTAGCTTAAAGTCAGAAGTCAGACTTTTGCCGTATGAGCATACGTTGCCCAGGGTGCACCACGTGGAGGTAAGTCTATCGCTCACCCCCGTCTCTATTGTTGAAAGGGGAAAAATAGTTCTGTGTCACTTTGCCCATTTCGACTGAAGACGTATAAGGAATTATTTGCCTTTCAAGAGAGAAGTTGAAACTCTTGGTTTTTTTTTCGCGATTCCTCCATTTTTTCCTAACGTGTTCTATGGCCTGAGATAGTTGACGGCATTCCCGATCATTTGTAAATCTTTGTTTGCGAGGCAATTTAGTGACTACGGTCCTAGATCTTGGTTCGCATTTTCTTAATTTAGCATTTCATAAACCAGTTCAAATTCCTTTGATGCCTTCATGTGCGTACAACTGAAAGTAACCAGCCAATCTTCAGATTTGCAAAGGCAAATTTTTAAACCAGTACGGCTGTGTTTAATTTAACGCATTACAAATTACATGGTTTTTTGTAAGTTGATGTATTTTCTACAAAGGGGGTGGGGTGCGCATTTAAAAAAAATCCAGAAGATTTCAGAAAGTGTACTTCAGGTCTGACCTAAATCGTCTCATATTTTGTCAATTACAACTGATGAGATAAGGCAAATGACATACTTAAAGGCAGCGAGAGCTTATCTTGTCGTCCGACACTAATAAGGTTTTCTATTTACCAGCAATTAGTAAAGTTTGGATGGTTCTCTAGCATTTCTAGCAGCCCATTTGAAGTGCCTTTCCTTGGCTGTCTGCTTCTTTGAAATACACTTTTTTTCTCTCTCTCTCTATCTTGAGGAAATTTAGAGTAATTTGTTGAGATGTTGGCATGAAGTTAATATTTTATTGGATAATCAATCGATTATTTGATCATTTATTTATTTATATCAAATGGCAGGCATTATGATAGTTATCATTAGCCCTTTAGTTGACTTCAGGCTTCACAGAGAGGAAGGAACATCAAAGAGAAAAAAGTCGAGATGGTTGGGAGGGGGGATCAGAAGAGTGATTCAAAGATGCAAAAGAGACAGACACGAAGGTAGGGAGAAGGTGAGGTGAGTACTGTGAAGTAGTCGAATATGACATA